TTTACCAAATAAATATAATTTGGTGTATCCTCTTACAATTTACCCTTGGATTAAATCAAACTTTCTTAAGTAATGACATTAATCATTGTAAAATAAATTTACCTTTTTACTTTTACTCTTTATATAATGGAGTTTTATATTAAAATTTTAATTTATATATTATACAGATGAACTCGAATACGAGATGATAATAAACAAATCAAATTAGCAACAAAATATTTAATATTTATGTATTAAAATGTGACCTATTTTGAATCGTTGAACTTATTTTTAACATGAGTGACTGAGATTCTTTTAATCCAATGACTCAAAATCATCACTAATTTTTTTTTTTCCTAAAATCAGCCCATATTTTTTTTATGTTAATCAATGGAAGATTGAAAATTTCACTTATCATATATTTTTTTCATGTTAATCGAGATGAAACAAAATATTCTCTCTCTTCTCTCTCCCATTTTTTTTTAAATAATGAGAAGATTATTTTATTTTATAAATTATTATTTTAGATATTAGTATTACACAATTAATGTTTAATTTATTTATATTAACTAATATTTTTAAGCACGAATTATTATTAATCATTAATTAAATGAGTTACACAAATTCAATTTAGCACGACCCAAGACACGCTCCGATTGGTCACCCAACCGAAGCCACCCATGACCAAAAATCTCCCCACTGCCTCCGCGAGTCCGCGAGTCGTAACACTCTAAAGCAAAGCGCGTTGTCTTTCCCATTTTTCAACTGCCTCATGCGCGTTCATCCCACGTTCATTACCAGCGCGTGAGATCTCCACTTCCACCTTCCGTTCTTCGTCTCTCTCTGCCCTGTATTTCTCTTCACGTCTCGCCAATTTGCTACGACGAGCCCCATGGGAGTAGCGTAGAAATGACACGAACACGACGAATATTCTCTCCCTCTCTCTATCTCTCCCTCTGAACTTTCTCTCTCCAAAATTTAGATTACAAGAAAGAGAAGGAAAATAGAAATGCCCGCGCTCTGAATTCTCTCTCTCGATCTTTCCGCCTTTTCTTGTGATTTCGTGCTATGAAACCCTAACTTTCTCTCTCCGTAAACTTAATCCATCTCTACAACTCCGAACGATTAATTTGCCGGTACGAAGCTTTAAATTTTAACCACTATCTGTACCTATAGTTTTAATTATTTTTTTATTTACATTTCGTCTGTTTTAATATTTTTGTTTAGGAAAAAATATTTTTTGTTGCTTAGAAAAAATTTGATTTTGTGTATTTTTGATTGGTTTTTTTAAAAAAAAAATTAAATAGTTTAATTTTGGATCTCAGATGGTTGGATAAAGCTCAGGGGTCATGTGCTTTCGTGATTAATTTAATAGGAAAATGGTTGCTTTAGCTTTGTATAATTGTTACTTAAATTATTCATTATCTAACTGTCCTCTCGCGTGATTGTTTGGTTGTCGCACGTTGCTTCGTGTAGGGTTAAGATATATAATTCTCTGTGGCTTTTTTATATTAAGCTTTGATTCTGTTATACATGTATATATGTGTAGATGCCTCTTTACCTCTGCGATTAACTTGTTTCGGATCCAGATTTGCTCGTAGCGCGAGGTGGGTATTGTGTTTGGTGCTAAATTAAGCTTCTTTTTTGTTTTTGTTTTTTTTTCTGCCTTTGCTTAAGGAATTAAGGAGATAAGGGCAATCAAGCATAGGTGGAGAAGAGGGAAAGTGGGTTTCAAAGGTTTAAAAATGCAGGCAATTGGTTTTGTCATACTGTTAAAGATAGTATTTGGGAGGATTATTTAGGAGTTTTCATTATTGGATTGAGTGGTTCAGCGTTGGTTTATGTTGTTCACTTACCAATCTTAACATCTGTAGGATATAACCACCTTAATATTTTAGTATTAAGCTTTTGTGTTATCTTCTGTTTTGCAATTTTGGTATGCAAATGCACCATTTTTTTGTGTGTTACCACTGTTAAAAGATCGGATTGTCTGTAACTTATCTGAATTACATTGTGTTCAGGGCTTCTTTGATAATTGTTGAACCCTTTGTGTAATAAGCAATGGGTTTTGCAAATGTGAGATTGGGTAAATAGTGTGCTTTTCAGTGTTGCATTTGACCACTTGCATAACTTTTCTTTGTGAATAAAAGTTGTTTCTTATCTAAAAATCTTAGCTTTTTAATTTCTCAGTATCCAGAATTTTGAGTCGGAAGCCAATTTTGATTAGTAGACTTAAATGAAGCACGGAATTTATTATGTTGACTTCTATGCAAATATTTTTTGTCGGCTATAGCCCGAAAGATTAGTCAGCATACTCTTTCCGGGGACGAGTTAGCAATTTCTGGATTTATGTTGGTAGGGAATTTTTGGAAAAGCTATCTGGTTATGTTTATTATCTTTCAAGTGAAATATCAAATTCTACTTTTGGATGACTGAAGGAACCAAAGGAACTCAATGCTGCCTTTTGGAATACAAAATGACCAAGGACTATCATTGTAGAGTTTATAATATTTTTACTGCAGCCTTTGAAGGTTTGAAAGTGTCTTTAGGCTGTAATGTGAGAAGCTAGTATAAGGAAATTGTCTCTTGAGAGAATTACCTTTGGTACTTTTTAATTCTAGGATGCCTCTTGCCTGATTGCAATACTATGTTTGGATTTTGCAGCATAGCAGGTCGCACCTGATATGTATCAGGAGATCAGTGTCCTTAATTGGCAGTACTAAGTTGATATATGCCCCGGCAGGGTGTTTGTAGTTTGTCATTATGATGGGAACAACAATGTTTCTGGATTTTGCTACATTGTTGTTATTTCATCTTATTGGCTGTCCAAATGCATTTTTCTCCAGGACCTGGTCAGGTAAGCCAGAAGAGAGGTCATTTTGCCTTATTTGACCATTGAGTTTGTTTGTTGAGGTTTGACATCTTTGGTTTGTTCATTTTTGATTTTTTGTTGTCTTGTTGATGATATCTTTTCCTGGACCCAATCATCTGAGGCAGAGCCGTAGAAGTATCATTGTCTGATACAAGGATCAAAATTTCGTTTCAGTGTATTGTTTCGGTCACCTAAGAAACGGAAATATTTCGATGTGTTTCGGAAACGTTTCAACCCATTTAAAAAACAGAATGAAAAAAATGAAAAATTTAAGAATTATTTTTTCAAAATATTGGTCGAACTATATGGAAATATCTTGAAACATTCCGAAATAATTATACAAATACATTGAAATATAACAACATTTCAAAACATTATGAAACATTTCGAAGTATTAGAATTTCGATTCCATCACCGATTCGTTTCGATGTCTTTAAAAACGGAAGCTTTTCGATCGTTTCAAAACGATATTTTGATCCTTGGTCTGATACTAGGATCTACTTTGGTGCCATTGATTTTAAAGCCTGCCCAGTGCCTATGTGTTGAGCTGAAGCTTTTGCACATACTATTGATCAGGAGTATTGACTCTACAATTTTTATCCTGCAAGCTCTTCGCCATCACTTTGCACTATTTTCACATGGTGATGTGTGTAAAGTGGATATATGGAATATTTTTTCAAGAGGTTGATCAGTTCTTGAAATTATGGATTTGTGCAAAAATGATTTATAGTTGACAAGGAAAGAAGACATGAAGAAAGAGTTTTGTTTTTTTTTGTTGGGGGGAGAATAAGGAACGAATCTCTGCTGTGGAGAATACATTTCCAGGATTTAAGTCAGGTAATGAAGGAGCTTGGAGTGGGCTTTGTTAAGCATTGGTGTAGGAAACAATTGGGAAATTGAAAGAATTTGGAATTACACAATATGGGGTATATGCATGAATAATTTGGAAATGGTTGAGTTATTTGAGTCTATTTTAGCTGATGAAATAGTTTGAATTGTCCTTGAAACTCCCAAAGAGTTTGAAATTATTGTCAATATACTATCAATAAATGTCGTCTGCTGTCCTTGTTCTTGTACTCTCTTATGAAAAGTTAGTTTGGCGCCCTCTAGGACCTTTTGGTTCCTTGGGCATTATACCGAAGACAGAGTTTCTGTTGTCTAGACTGCTTTTGGGGAAACTCAGGTGAGGTTGGATTTGTAAGGAGTGCCATTTCATGGTTGTCCATTCTTGTCAGTATCATTACCACAGTTCACCCTATGGAAAGAGGCATCTTGCAACTCTTTGTTATTTTTTTGTATGTGAGATCTTTCAAAATTGTCCTTACAAAGTTGCACCCTCAAATAGGCCAATGATATTGTTTAGAAGTATGAATTCCAAGTTATTGGAATCCTTTGTTTTGCTGGTCTATTAAGTTGCGCACTGGAGAATGCTTTGCCTGCACATTTTATGTTTCCAGTTGGACTTCTAATTTTGCAGTTTAGTTCATAATTCTGAAAGTTACATGCTTTGGCTAGTCTTGAGGGCCTGAATACTGCAAATGTGCAAGTAGATTTACTTGTAATTGTACTAACTGACGCGTTTAAGTTATCAAGTCACAAGGTGAAGTAAAAAGAGAGAGAGGATGGAACCTTAGATCATGTTTGGGTAACATGAATGTGGATCGTTAGTGAGGTATTGTTGAATTTGATGGAGTCAATTATGAGGATTGGAGTTAACAGTGTACTTGCTGGTATAGGATTAGTTGTTACAAGTTTATGAAATTGCACTGCTGCATGTGCATATTAATGCATAAAAAGTTGTTCCCCTATAGCGGGGTTTGAGAAATCTGTGGTAAGCAGTCTTACCGTCTGTTTCTCATTTTGTTTTAACCCCGCACTGTGCAGGCCTGTCACCTAGTTACCCTCAATTAACTCTGGACACTCNTTTTAACCCCGCACTGTGCAGGCCTGTCACCTAGTTACCCTCAATTAACTCTGGACAACCAAACTAAAAACTCAAAAGCACTGTGGAAGTTATTTATACTTGCTTTCCTGTTCATATACAATTTGTGTTGACAGTTTGACAGCTTTAAGTTAGAAATTTATGACTTGGCCGGCCTGTTTGTTGATATAATAGAATTTCTATTACAATTTTCAGATTTATTTGGAAATGGCGAAAGGTACCAGGGGAAGACGTAGGATTGCTTCACGCCAATGCAGGCCAACCCCATACCCCTTGCAAACCTGTGACCAATCAGATGGCGTGCATCAAAAAAATTGCTCCAAAATTTTTGTGAAGAAAGACTGGGAAGATGCAACCTGTTCTGTATGTATGGAGTATCCCCACAATGCTGTTCTTCTCCTGTGTTCATCTCATGATAAAGGTTGCCGGCCCTACATGTGTGGCACTAGCTTCCGCTATTCCAACTGCCTTGACCAGTACAAGAAAGCCTACACCAAAGTGGCATCACCACATCCCAACCATTCAGTTGATAATCCAGCTGTGGGTGCAGTGTCTAGTTGGCCTGCTGAAAAGTGTGAAGTGACTGAGCTGGCATGTCCCCTTTGCAGGGGCCAGGTGAAGGGATGGACTGTGGTGGAAGCTGCACGAGGATATCTCAATGCAAAAAAGAGAAACTGCATGCAGGAGAACTGCTCATTTGTTGGAACGTACAAGGAGTTGCGGAAACACGTTAGGGCAGAGCACCCTTGTGCTAGGCCACGGGAAGTGGATCCTGTTTCTGAACAGAAGTGGAGAAGTCTGGAGCGTGAGCGAGAGAGGGATGATGTAATCAGCACCATTACGTCATCAATGCCTGGGGCAGTGGTTTTTGGTGATTATGTGATAGAAGGAAGTCATTATGGTTTTGATACGGATGAAGAGGAAGGTTTTGATGTTGATGCTGTGGGGCGGAATGGGAGTTTTGACGTCGGGATCGATAGCAACCTGATGAATGTCTTTTTTCTGTTGCACGCATTTGGTCCATCTGGGGATATTGTGTCAAATAGAAGGATGAGATTGAGGAGGTTTGAAAATGATTCCAATCACTCATTGGATGGAGGTACTATTGGAAATCGTCACACAACCCCTATTGAGGAATTTGATTCCTCTGATCAAGATAGTGATGGCCGTGGCGATGATGATGATGCCAATACTGGTATGTCACTTGTTGGCCGTCTCCGCCGCCAAGGCAGAGTTCTTTTAGGCCGATCAGGGAGGAGACGAAGGCGTAGAGAGANCATATACAATTTGTGTTGACAGTTTGACAGCTTTAAGTTAGAAATTTATGACTTGGCTGGCCTGTTTGTTGATAGAAAAGAATTTCTATTACAATTTTCAGATTTATTTGGAAATGGCGAAAGGTACCAGGGGAAGACGTAGGATTGCTTCACGCCAATGCAGGCCAACCCCATACCCCTTGCAAACCTGTGACCAATCAGATGGCGTGCATCAAAAAAATTGCTCCAAAATTTTTGTGAAGAAAGACTGGGAAGATGCAACCTGTTCTGTATGTATGGAGTATCCCCACAATGCTGTTCTTCTCCTGTGTTCATCTCATGATAAAGGTTGCCGGCCCTACATGTGTGGCACTAGCTTCCGCTTTTCCAACTGCCTTGACCAGTACAAGAAAGCCTACACCAAAGTGGCATCACCACATCCCAACCATTCAGTTGATAATCCAGCTGTGGGTGCAGTGTCTAGTTGGCCTGCTGAAAAGTGTGAAGTGACTGAGCTGGCATGTCCCCTTTGCAGGGGCCAGGTGAAGGGATGGACTGTGGTGGAAGCTGCACGAGGATATCTCAATGCAAAAAAGAGAAACTGCATGCAGGAGAACTGCTCATTTGTTGGAACGTACAAGGAGTTGCGGAAACACGTTAGGGCAGAGCACCCTTGTGCTAGGCCACGGGAAGTGGATCCTGTTTCTGAACAGAAGTGGAGAAGTCTGGAGCGTGAGCGAGAGAGGGATGATGTAATCAGCACCATTACGTCATCAATGCCTGGGGCAGTGGTTTTTGGTGATTATGTGATAGAAGGAAGTCATTATGGTTTTGATACGGATGAAGAGGAAGGTTTTGATGTTGATGCTGTGGGGCGGAATGGGAGTTTTGACGTCGGGATCGATAGCAACCTGATGAATGTCTTTTTTCTGTTGCACGCATTTGGTCCATCTGGGGATATTGTGTCAAATAGAAGGATGAGATTGAGGAGGTTTGAAAATGATTCCAATCACCCATTGGATGGAGGTACTATTGGAAATCGTCACACAACCCCTATTGAGGATTTTGATTCCTCTGATCAAGATAGTGATGGCGGTGGCGATAATGATGATGATGATGATGCCAATACTGGTATGTCACTTGTTGGCCGTCTCCGCCGCCAAGGCAGAGTTCTTTTAGGCCGATCAGGGAGGAGACGAAGGCGTAGAGAGACCAATGCTGCAGATCAGAGATTTCTCTAGATGGTGTTAAACCAAAAAAAAAAAAAATCGAATTGGGAAAAGGAAAAAATTCTTAGGTCCATTAGTTTAGGGATAGAAAAGAAAGATAAAGCTATATTTCCTTTTTACATGCTGCAAATCTGCTTCTCATTGATGCATTCATACTTTTGATGGTTGTTTCTCAAGAAAATGGAAGATGAAAACTGTCTTGTTTTCCTGTGTAATTGTTCATCTGTAATTTCCTAGTTCCCTTTCGGGTTCCTGATTTGTGAATTCTGAACATTGTTATCTGTGATGTCACTAATGTAAACATGTAATTTATTTCCCCTCTCTGGTGTTGTTGAAGTATAATATTTGTCTTCTGGTGAAAGGAAACCAAAATCCATATTATGGGAATGTTATTGCAGTAATGCTCCTGGATATTACTTTGGTCTAAGAATTGACAAAATTCTGTATATTGTTAGAAACTTAAATTGAGGCCATTGTTTTTTTGGTATTATGGTCAAGGTTTTTTGGGTCTGTTTATGAATATCTCAGATTAATTCCATCTTTGATTCGGTCAAAGACAGATTATTTATGTCGGGATTAGAGAAATTATGATGGATAAATCTTTCATGGCTCGACTTCAAGTGAATTTTTAGTTTTAAATGCAGTTATGAACTCAAATGTTGATCCAAAAGCCCCAGAACATTTGGGGGTTAGAGCTCATAATTATTTAAATGTAACATTTTACCATGTTCAAAGTTGATGGCTATAGTGATCCAAACTATCGACACTAATCAAATGGTAGACTTTTCTTTTTAGCGACTCCACTCTTTTATTAATTTTCAATACGATGACACTATAAAAAACATTTTAATCCAATTTATAAGTCACATTTTTATTGACTTAAACTCATGACATGGTGTCTATTTTGATACCAATTGTTATGAGCTAAAATACCAAAATTTACATCTTATCTCTATGTCCACCTGATTATCCTTTTGAGTCTTAAACTAATTACCAATATCGACAAAAAAAAAAAAAAAAAAAAACCAAATATCAATTGGTTAAAGACACTTCTAGAAATCATATTCGCTTCCATCTCTTTTCCTGGACAGAAAATGAAGCCTCGAGTTGTTTGTTTTGATTTTCATCACTGAGGATCATACCATTTTACTTTATACTGTTCATATCAATTGATTTTCAGTGGTCTTCCCTTATGACGTTATTTTTGACTCACCAAGACTTTTATTCTAATTACTTTTCTAAATAAATCATATTTCTTTTGTGTGTATCGTTGAATGAAAAACTAATTCTAGTATTTGATAAATCTTGCAGTCAATCTAAAAATTATAATAAATTATATCAATAAATGAAATCAAAATTTTAAATTTGAATAACATTACTAAAATATAATTATTTTATTTTTTAACCAAAACATAGATGAAAGTAATTATTAACCATCATAATTGCTCTTCTTCACTTTAACTATAACATTTTAGTGAAAGTCTGCAATACTTGGAAAAAAAAATTCAACAACATACTAAAAATTATAACTTTTAATGAAAAAATTACACATTTAAAAAAAGGAGTTACACTTATTAAAGAAAAACCCATAATCGATTATAAACTTCTCATTTAAAAATTATAAATTAATTTTTAAAAGTTAAAACTTCCATAATCAATTTGTCATTTACAAATTATGACTTACATCTCAAAAATTTAAAACTTCCATAATCAATCTATCCTTTACGAGTTTCAACACAAAAAAATGGTGCATTTCCCAATCATTTACAATTCACAATAACTATTCAAAAATACATATAAAGCCGTGGCATTACATACAAATCAAATTTAAATATATGATATTCTCGTACCGTCACAACTTTAAAACAGGTGACCCATACAAGGGGGTAACAGGAGAAAAAGGACAGCAACCTCATTTCAGTATCAGAAACCAGAAGGGGAAGCTACAGTAATCCTGTGTATGGAAAATCTTAATGGCCAGCAGGTTGCGCCACGTGATCTTGTGTAAAAGAATGGAGAACAAGAGGTCCACGATTTGAGGATACACTATTTAAGGGGCACAATAGATTTACACAATGCTACAAATCTTTCTTTTCCTTTATACCAGTTGGGATTCCGTAACACACTGGTGATGCTCCAATCAAAAAAGGAAGAGTGCAAGCTTCTCGAGCTTGACTCATAAATGATCCAATCTTTGGTCTGTGGTTACAACTATCATTACATGCACTAATATTGCAAGCTTCAGGTGATTTCTTCCTTGACAATTTTTTCTTACCATTTCGTCTAGACCCACCTATATTCATGGACTTAAATTCATTTGAAATTAAATTGCACTGAGAACAATCTATTGAAGCAGCCGATCTTTCTCTGACCCATGCATCAAGCATGGCTTTACCAAATCGATCAATATCCTTGTCCGTCACCTCCCATAAATTAGCAACTATAACTGGAGAACCTGCTAAAAGATAGCAGAGGGGAGCACCTTGTGGGGTGTAACACCCATTCAGAGATAGAGATCCACTGCTGCAGCCCATCAGGAGAGTAGCAGCACAGCTTTCAAGTTTCTGAATCTCCTGCCCAGGAATATATTGTGCCCCTGAATCACCACAATTGGAATTTATTCAAAATTGGTGCATAAAGAGGAGGTTGAAAATATAAGATTGTTGATTAAATGGCTTGGATAGCAAAGATATGAAGAGGCAGCAATTAAGGAGTTTTAATCAGACATACCACTTCCGTGGCCAAAATAAATAAAGAGGTCATGGCTTTTCAAGGCGACAGTCAATTCTGCAACTGTTGGTGCAATTCCTGTCTTTCCCTGGATAGCAAGTCAGTAGAATATCAAATATAGAGGAATTTATATGCAACAGCCAATAAGGGATATAATCCAATGCTCAATGAAAAGCCGCATCTACATGGGCACAATGAGGAGATGCATGTTGAAAATGCACAAATTAAGCACTGAATAATGCATGCCGGCATATGCATTTTCACAAAAAGTCGAAAGAGACAAACATCAAATATTGTGGGTTCTGGGATTCTTTTTCCTTATAGTGCTAAGAGTGCTATCAAGACCAGAATTACCTCAATGTTTTGATTTCTAAACCAGTTCTCAAATTCAATCTGTGTGCCACTAAGATCACCACTGGGATTCAACACATAATAGGCATCCAGAGGATCTATAATCGGAAATACTGAAGCATCAACCCCAATGTGTTGTTGAGGGTGGCAGCATCTCTCAAGTGTGGCAGAGATGCTGCCAACAGAGGGCATGCGATAGACCTCTTGATCTCTTAGTATTGGTAGATTCTCCCATGGAAGCATCTGCACAAAGTCATCAATCAATCAACAGGCTCAAATGCAACAAAATGTGCCACAGAATTGGGAAAAAAAATGTAAAATAAAAAGATGATTTCCTCCTCATGAGTGCCTAAAGATGTAATGTTTGGGGTGGCCAGCTATGTATCTTTTAGCAACAACTATTCTATATGAGACCTGAAAAAAATGATTAGAAGATGGATCTATTATTGATTATGCAATGTATTGTGGCGAGGGATTTAAATTAAAAACTGCATTCACAATTCTTAAAACTCTATAGGGCCATCAATTAGTCAAGTGGTGAAGCAAAGATTTATGGCAATTTCGTGAATGATAGTTGAGAGAGAGAGCTAAAATCCCACCTGCACCTCAAAATCCAAAACAAGAATAATTGGTTCTCTATTTACACATTCTTGTTCTTCGATCTCATGGGCTGTTTCAAGTATCAGTTTGAAGACTGATTGGGACACACCTTCTACTCCAGTACAAGTGTTAGGCAATGTACTGGACATTCCATGATCACGATATTCCTCCCCACCAATATAACATCCTTTGTTTAATATCAGCTGTAAAACACATTCTTCTCTTTCAGAGACATATTTAGCACCTCCAAGAATAACTTTCAGAAGACTCTCTTGTACATCCACCCTATATTCACATTTCAAATCATCTGCCAGTTTCTTTTGTACAGAATCCAGGTGCTTGCAACCTGACCATTCCCCCAAAAGTAGGTACTTCCAAGGACCAAACCATGAATCTTCCAAATCACTGATGCATGAAGAGATTAACATTTAACATCAAGCATATAGGAGTATGAATAAATGGAATTTCAGTGAGAAAACAATTACCTCAACAATTTAGCAAGGTGCCGATCAAGCCTCTTCCTCTGCATCCACCATAATGACCTGTTCTTTTTTGTATCTTCTGAAGGATAGATTGAAGATGATAAATAGTTCTGCTCCAATATCTGTCTGAACAAAGGGGCTACATCATCAATCGCTGTGTAGCCCCAAGGACAGTGCCACCTTTGAACAATTTTTTTGTCATCATACGGGATCCCAGAGCCAGAATTTGCATCATCATCTGATCCGACTGACGGTATTATGCAATAAAATATCAGTGTAATGCTATTTCAACTAAAGTGAACAATTTGGGCATAGAAGATTGTGGATGATTAATACTCCAGCTCATGTTATTGAAGAGCAGATTACCTTCTAAGATTGAATCCACAGGTAAAAGTATGACAACAGGTTGGCAATTTGACTTCAGCCGGGAAAAAAGAATCCATGCATGAATGGAGGAAGGATAAAGCAACAATTCTTTCAACAAACTGGTATAAGCGCCTCCGAGCAAGCTAACACATATGACCGTAGTACGAGGAAGACGCTCAAAAAATTTTACAACATATCCTTCAAGATCTTGAAGCAATTCAGGTGCAAACCTGCAACAGGAGGGGAAGACTGGGGATTCAGTTGAGCAATCACATACTCCTCTATGTACGTAAATTCCGGCAATACCTGAGTGCCTTGATTCTTGCTGAACCAATGAAAGTTGCACTAGATGGACAAGAAACCTGTTAGAAAAAAAAAGTGAATAAATAAACACAAGAAAGAAGGATATGTCTCATCAACTTAGAATATATGTTTTTTATTCCAGAACAGAAAGTTGGACAAACTGCCCTTTAGGCCCTTACAAAGAAAAGGGTGATGAAGTGATGACCATTCTTGTTGAGCACACTGGTAAAACAACTTGCATACACAGGGGCTGTGAATAATTAAACATGATTGCTTTACTCCTGCAGACGAAGATTTACATTCTGACAAGGAAACCAAGATGTAGCCTTTCATAACTGCCCCTAAACAGGTCAAAAGATTGAAAGGCCCAACACCTACGTCTCATGCACATCTAAAGGAAAAAAGGCAGTGGGAACAAAAATCAGGTTATAAGGTCCCTGACTCTAGCGTATTTTCCAGATAAAAGGAGGCTATTTCGTCAAATCTCATGGTTTAAGTCTAAAATTGCCTCATAAAATGCTAGATACATTATAACTAGCATAAAGGACATTATAATGTTAAGAAATACTGGAGATGAAAGCAGAAAGATAAAATATTCCCCAAATAATTGTGCTGAAACAAGGACAAATCGGCATACTGGGTGGGTTTTTGGGAAAGCACATACAGAAGAAGGGAGAGTGATCTCAAAGACATACCTCAAGATCCATAGGATTTTGGGCTTTTTGCTTCCCAATCATACTAGTAAAGAGCTGGTGGTTAAGATGAGCACCAAGTGAAGCTTGATGAAAATATGAGGCCCACTGACTTTCAGAGAGTGCCTTACCCGAAGACAAAGAAAAAGTCCTTATTGAGGTAGAAAGAATGAACAGAGCAGCAAGCAACCTCGAAACCTGATGCAGTATCAGTACGGCCAACATCAATCATAACACTTGACGGAAAAGAAAAGGGAAGAAATAACATAATAATGATATCTATATGATTAGAAGCTACTTAACAATAGATCCAAAATTGCTATGTCAATTGTCCATAAAATAGTTTGGAAGAAATTCAAATGAATCTAAACCATTATCACATTTTTTGCTATCGGATTCCAATTCTAACAAACCTAAAGGGCAGCCCAGTGCATGATGCTCTAGTCACTGATGGGTCTAGGGAGGGTAAAATTTACGCACTCTTACCCCTGCATGTGAAGAAGCTGTTTTCACGACTCAAACCATTGATGCCCAAGTGACGGTAAAACAATCTTCCTGCAGTGCCAAGGCCCACCCTCCAATTCTAAGAAGCCTAAATATCAAATTAAAATCCACCCAACTTTCAAGATCATAGCATCCTTACACCTTCGAAGATTGATATGAAACTCAAATGAATGTCACTAGAGTGCAACATAAACTGATATGTTGCATCTGTAAACATGCAACTCTAAGTCAAATGAATCTAAACCATTATCACATTTTCTGCTATTGGATTCCAATTCTAACAAACCTAAAAGGTAGTCCAATACACAAGGCTCTAACAGTCAGATATACACAGTCTTAGCCTTGCATGCAAAGAGACTATTTATGAGACTCGACCCTTTGATGCCCAAGTCACAATGGATCAATCTTACAGCAACGCAAAGGCCCACCCTCCAATTCTAACAAATCTAAATATCAGAGTAAAGTAAACTCAACTTTCAAGAGCATAGCATCCTTACACCTTCCAAGATTGATATGGAACTCGAATGAATGTCAAATTGCATTCAAGTGCAACATAAATTGATATGTTGCAACAGCAACACTTCTAAAAAAAGGTTTAAGCATTCTCTTTCAAAATTTCTTGGATAATTAATTTAAAGTCCACGAAGCATTAAGATTTGCTCAAAAGATGTAAATCACAACAATATCCTGCTGAAGGGTAGTGGGCTAATTCTAGTTGGTGGTTTTTGTTCAATGGATATTGTTGTACTGCTATGTTTTTCTATGGAGTCCACGTCCTTCTCTTTGTCCATCCTATAATTTATTCTCTTTAATACGGTTGGGTTCATTCCAAATAACAAATGTAGTAAATGACAATAACTACAACAATAAAACAAGAGCAAGACATTGTTTACCTTTTGAAAAAGTGCAGGAACTTCGCGACAGAGTATAAAGGATAGCATCAACCAAGACACGATTCTTGGTATCTCAATGCATGACAAGTCACAACAAATTATCCTGGTAAGCAAAATAAATCAAATGAAGAAGGGAACAGCAAGATAGTCAAACCACAGGCAGGTATGAAGTGGCAACAAAAACTCATATTTAGAACATGAAAGAGGAAAACAACTATTCTGACAAAAAGGTACAAATATGAATGTCCAAGGCAAACAGAATTAAGCTCCCAAACAATATCAAAAATTGTCCATGTACTTACTAAAATCCTGCGCTTTAAGAAGGCCAACAACCAGTCACAACTCAAAATAAAGCGGTCACCAAGTCAGGCTGTTTAAGCTCGTAAGATGTCTGATACTGTTATCACGAAAATTTTGTTGGAAAATCTGATTTGGGTGATTTCTTTATTTCTAATCCTTCGTAACCATTTTTGTGCTTCTTTTAGTTTTATTGTCTGGAAAAGTGGGCACAAATGGAAGCACAATGCCACCTAAAGCTACTTGACTGATGAATTTCACTAAAATGGAAAACATGAGTCTTTCCTTTTTTTCATTTCAAACTATTCCACATTATTTTCTTGCTAATTGCAACCAAAGATCAAAATTTAATTTCGGTTACCTTAGAAACGAAAACATATCGGATATATTTCAAAAATAGAATGGAAACAAATAAAAATTTTAAAAATTTATTTCCAAAACATTGGTTAAAATATACTGAAACACCTTCCAAAATATTGGTGGAAATATGCCGAAACATTTCAAAACATCTCTAAATATTAAAATTTCATTACTGATTCATTTCGATCTCCTTGGCATGGGAAAATTTTCGGCCTTTTCAAGGTTTCGAAGAAAAATTTTGATCCCCGATTGCAACAACAGGAAGCTACAACTTCCATCTTCTCCATCGTCTAGCCCTCCCACAATATGTGTTCTGATGTTAATGAGTCGAGCAAATAGGTCATTGCCTCGCTGATCCAAGCTCAATCATCTTTGAGCAGAGCTTAAACCAGGCATGAACATTATTGGTGATGAGTCAAGCTCAGCATAAGCACATCAATATTCAGTTTGGCTCAGCAAGTTTACATCCTAATATAGTAAACATCTAGCACAGTAACAGAAACTTCATCAAACCTACAAGAAAATATTCAAAAAAACAAGAAAAACCATCAGAGGTATGTCACACCCCAACGCCAAGAGCATGACCGGCCGTGAACCATAGATCCATAACCTATGGAACATGTAAGCCTAACTAATAATATAGGAGTGGAAAATAACATTAAAACACTAAATTCATCTCAGGTCAATATGTCAAAGTCAACATACCTAAACCTGTTTGCCCAATTATCCAAACAAGTAAAGAGGGCTAAACGATATATGCTACGAAAGTCACAACACTATTAGTCTCCAGTCATTTACCCAAAAAAATATTATTTTAAAAGCATGAGCTAAAAAGCCCAGCAAATGGAAAGGCATGCATATTCAAATGGTTGAAAAACATATTTGACATACAACATGAAAATCAAAGATTTGAAAAAATAACTTCATCAAGATAGTCAATTTCTCAAGAATAACACAATCCGATTCCAACAAAAATCATACCACAATGGTGAATCATATCATAATGGTGGAGACTGTACAATATCCAATAATTAATGGAAACCAAATACCAAATACCAAATACAAGAAAATATGTATGACATACGATAGATAATCATAAACAAAGCCAGTAAAAACACGTTGTGACAATAACAAATTATATCGTCATCTCATACTGGTAAGGACTTGTACGATATCTGAAAATCATACCAAATGCCAAAAGATCTCAAGGTAGGATCCAACATCGTACTTAGGGTCACCACAAATTGCTGCTCGGGAACTGTTCCCTAAGACGATCCAATGAAGGTCACCAATACGCACCAGTCCCTTCAATCGTTGAACACTAGGGTCACCTCAGCCTCCCCCGAGTCTGTTCCTTAGTGACTAGGGTCACTCGCACACAGAGAAATAATTTTCTAGGACTTTTAGTACAAAATGCCAGAATATATCTCAGGGTTGGATCTAATATCGTACTTAGGGTCACCACAACCTCAGTCGGGTCTGTTCCCTAAAACGATCCGGTGAAGGTCACCAGGATGCACTAGGCACTATTTCTTCAACCGTTGAGCACTAGGGTCACCTCAACCTCTCCCGAGTCTATTCTCTAGTGGCCAGGGTCACCCGCACATAGAGGAATAATTTCTCCGTACTTTTAATTTTGGTCCCATTCACCATCACTAAGTCTCACCATATAAACAAGCGATTGAGTCACAATACTTCACAAAAGAATTCATCAAAGTAAGGAGAATCGTATGCCACAAGTATTTAGAAAATTAGTAAGCATTATTGTGAAGGTAGCATTATTATGTATCATTTTTTAAAATGTTTTAGGGATACGGAGAAAATAAGTATCATACCAAACCACTCACCTCATGTCCAAAGAAAATGCTTGTCACCCGAAGTAGAGTGAGATGTAATCGATGTCTTACCTCTTTTTCTCATAATTTTCCTTTGATGAAGTGTTTTTCCTTCCTTCTTCTTTCTTGAAAGTGGAAGACTACTTGCGCCCTTTACCCTTAATCCAATCCCCAAATACCCTATTTATAGGCATCCTAGGATTATTCAAGAGAATATTGACATGTGATATTTTTAGGACAATTTCATAAGTATCTAAATTCATCTATAGTCTTCTCCAACCTTCTAAGTCCTTTCGGAACTTTCTGGAACATTCTAAATTGTTCTAGAACCTTCTACTATTTCCTAGTACCTTCTAAAATATTCTAGAATTTTCCGGACTCTTCTAAGAACTTCTTCAACATTGTAGATTCTTCTAGACTATTCTAGGTTATTCTAGAACTTTCTAGAATCTTTTCTAACATTTTAGATTCTTCTAAATTATTGTAAATTCTTTCTAAGATAATATTCACTAACTAGTTCCTTGCCAAAATGGAACAGGATATTACATTCTTCCCCGTTTAAAATAATTTTGTCTTCAAAATTATGCTAATTATCCTAGCCGAATAAGTGTGGTATTCTTGATGCATTTGCCCCTTTGCAAAAAAATGGCCTCAACTACATGATTCTTTGTAATCAGTTAACCAATTGATTTGCCTTTTGTCTNTTCAAGAGAATATTGACATGTGATATTTTTAGGACAATTTCACAAGTATCTAAATTCATCTATAGTCTTCTCCAACCTTCTAAGTCCTTTCGGAACTTTCTGGAACATTCTAAATTGTTCTAGAACCTTCTAAAATATTCTAGAATTTTCCGGACTCTTCTAAGAACTTCTTCAACATTGTAGATTATTCTAGACTATTCTAGGTTATTCTAGAATCTTCTCTAACATTTTAGATTCTTCTAAATTAGAATGGTTCATTGTAAATCCAATAACCAAACAATTATCACTTCTCATTCCATAACTAGTCAATCAAAACTCAAACCAAAACCATCCAATTCCGCAGTCTTGTCAAGTTTTATCGTTGATTTCAATAAGCTATCTAAGCCTTCACTTCACCAAGCTTTTTAGATTAACATTATAGAACTAAAACTTGATTAAAAATAGTGCCCATCTCAGATTTCACACATTAAAGAATTAAGGCATGGGCAGTTGAGGTCAAACCGTTACTCCATAAAACCCAAGGCAACCTCGGGGAAACCAAAGTAGAATGAATTTGACCACATTAATGATAACACCTTTTGGAAGCATCATTACATGTCAATGATGTCTAGAACTAAGGTTCACAATTTGTTCTAAATCATTTTTATATTCTCTCTTTCCTAAACTCTTATGATAGTGTTACTAGTCTCCACTTATTACCTTTAGAATATATCGTTAAGATGAAGCACTTTGCCATATCACAGAATAACTCATGGCTTTCAATCCAATATTTTATTGTCTACCCTAAGCCTCGCACATCAAACTCAACCATAAGTAATCTAATAATTCTTGTGCACCTCAAAAAAATAAACTTATCTGATGAAAGAAGAAGAAATTGATAATTAACCATTACAAGTTGCGAACCTAAAACCATCAGCATCTACCATTTCGTATATCTCTTTATTCGATTGTCTCCCATTAAAGTTGTTCTCTTCTATACCAACTCATTTATGTATAAAATTTGACTCATATCTTTCTCCCAGGCAACTTCCACAATGATCAGTCATATCCAAAATCTCTCTTCCTTAAAAATACTTTATTCTTCAAAATTCATAATATCTTTTCTCCTTTTACTGAAATTAAGTAGTCCATCTTTGCAACTTTTGATGTGCAAGCTGTCAACATATTAATATTTATGCAATTGTCGCTATGTGAGCTAATTTAATATCTGTTTTCCCAGGATTGATTGATTAATCATCATTACTTGAGGCGGTTTTAAAAGTTCAACTCTAGAGACTCAGGACTTCCACCCTAACATTTGACATTACCACAAGACTTGTTCCTTTTATAGAGCTAAGAATTCAGAAAGAAATAACCAAAATCACCAATATCATCCTAAGTTACTGTAGTCATCTTAGAGGATTCGAATATTGATTACATTAATTGAATCATTAGGTCAAATTAATACATTAATCTCTAAAGATAACCAATTACAATATAGACTCTGAAGTTTGATTCATTGCTTGTATATTCAAATCTTATGACCCAACCAATTAAGAAATTCTTCAATAATTTGATAATTTAACATCAATCACAATCACTCAAATATTTTCAAAAGAAAATGATATTCATTTTATACTAGTAAGAATCAACGTATTATTTCCTCCAATTATTATGAATTTCTCTAAAATAAAATTCTAGTAGTCTCAAAATTCTCTAACCATTCGATAATCAATGATCGACCATTAAATCACTCTTTTACTCTTAAATATCACTTTTTCAAATGTACCTATAAAACCAACAATTTAAGATAAAACAACATATCTTAAAACTTTTGATTTCTCGGTGCTCCAACAATAACATCAGAAAGTTCCAAATTTCCATATTTTATTCATAAGTATG